TTTTTTTTTTTTTGCCCTTTGTCTTAACATTTGTCATTGATGATTTATCTTGCTTCTTTTAATTTTAATTAAATTACAAAAATTATTTTTTAAAAATAATAATAATGTTTAAGAAATTTAATTTTTTAATTTTGCATGATTTAAATGTAGTTATAGCTATAAATCATTTGACATTTGGTGAAGGTATACACATGGTTAACATCTCACACCACAAGGGAAATGGAGGGAAAAAAATTGAAGGAAAATTATTAGAATAGAAGGAAGAAAATTATTATTCAACAAAACTGGTAATCCTTCAATTATGTTTAGAATCAAAATTACAGCATACCTATTATGTTTGACAAAGGTTTTGGCCAACCTCTCTATAATGGCAGGATTGGGAGGGTGAAGAACCCCCGATAAACAACAAGAATTTAAACCAGAACTACTCTATTCTATGCTAGTGTGATTCTGGTGTAACTCTTATCACTAGGAAGAATGACATATGATTGGTCGGATAGCGGCTTTAAGGTCATCATAGAATCTTTGCTCGGAAAATCTGTTAGCTCTTCTCCTTGCAGCTGCAGCTATCTTCAGCCTTTCAGACTCGGGCATCCTTACGATTTTCAGGATTGCATCTGCATATTCTTCCACACTTTGAGCAAGAAGTCCTGTTTGTTGCCCATCTTCATCTAAAATGATGTCCATTTTGGGGCCAGCAGAATTATGAGCTGAAGAAGAGCACAAGAAAAATCAGTGCAATGTAAAAACATTTTATAAACAGCAAAATCCGATCTGAAAGTGAAATATCATTTGGAATATTCACCAATTGGGATGGCTCCTGCAGCCATGTACTCGACAACACTGATTCCGAAGTGCTCATCTATCATTGAGTGAATTCCTGCAACAGCACCACCTAAAAGTCTTACCAAGTCCCTGCATAACATACGAAATTAATAAAGCTAAAAGTCAACTAAGAAAACATACATGCTAATAATTGCTTTAAAACATATCTAGGCACAGATAAGCTTTTGACAACCCATAAAAGCACAATGCTTGATCGAGACTTCAGCAGTGTGATATATTGCAGCTATGTAGCAGCAAGTTGATTCTCTGCTGACCATAAAGTTTTGGATGATTTCATACTGACAGAATATCAAACCAATTTAGACGACGTAGCTCATTTGCCAGTACCTACCTATATATCAAATTTTTATGGAATTCCACATCCTCAGTAATGTTCAATTGCACTGCTTTATCTTTCAAGTTCTGAAGTCTTTCCTCATCTGATTTATTTCGACAACTACCCACAAACTGGAGCTTAGGTCTTGGCAAGTCTTTATCTAATTTTCTGACAGCAACTGAAAAGGCCTCAAGTTGAAGACCCTGTGCCTGAGTTAAAAGAATCAAACTGTAAAGAGTTGCTACAATTAATCAAGGTCCCAAACTTGAGACACAAGAATGGTTGTACCTTTAGATTGAAGGTTTATCTAAGTATGCGCACCTTCTCTGGACGAAATTGAGCAACAGAAATAATTTTTGGAGTTTCCACTGCTCTTTCCACAGGAAGTGCCTGTTCAGATGTAAAATTGGCAAGAAATTATAAATAATGGCATAACATAAGACAAAAAAATACAAAATGTACTCAAATTGTGATGAAGAATGAGAAACAGAACCTGAAGTCCTGAAGTATCACAAGGTGGATAAACTCGCTTAGTACGCTCAGGAATTCTCCAAAGGTTGTCAATGTGAGACTGAGTCCACGAAGAGTTTACCATTACAAGATGTGCACAAGAGCCCACCATTCCATACATCCTGCTAAAAACTGTATAATAGATAATTTTGCACTGGGATAGCCACGTGCTGCCACAGAAGGATTATGTCAGGATCTAGATAACAAGATGAGAAGCCAGATATATTGCCAAGGCCTAGTCAGACCATTAGGCTGCTCTATTAACAAACTACATTTCCGCCATTTATGCAAATCCATTTTCTGCCAATTCAAGAAGAATGGTAGTAGCACTAGTGTTGGACCAGGAAATACAAAAGATTTTTAAAGTTAACAAAAAAATGATAGAACAAATCCAATATAGTTTTAGACAGACAATACACATATCCACAACTTTGAATATGGCAATTAATAGTCAAGAATGCAATCTACCAATCACTGATTCATTGCAAAAAGCATAAATTCGACAAGTAGAAGCAAACCTCTGATGTAGATGATACACATATCAACAATTTTGAATATGCCAATTAATAGTGAAGAATGCAATCTAAGAAACGCATAAATTCAGCAAGTATAAGCAAAACCTCCCTTGTAGATGATACACGCAAAACTGTTAAAAGTTTTTCAACATGGAATCATTACCAAAACGAACTGAAAATTAGTTTGAAACAAGACAACACCCGTAAACTTCCAATGCAACCAGTGACAGTTCAACAGTTCAATCTAACAATCTACGACATACAAATTCCAATCACTAAAGATTGGTAAAACGAAAGTAGAAGCAAACCTTCTAGCAATTAAGGCATCGTTATTGTACATGGAGCTTCGTTGACGAACACGAGAAACCATGTCTAAACTGATAGTAGGATAATGAGTATAGCAAATAACTTTGCATCCGAATAAACGAGCAATTGGGTATGTAAAAGCATATCCACTCGTATCAAAATAATACAAAGGTGTAAACTTGCTCAAAGCTTCCCATGACAAATAAACTGAGCCCAAGCTTTGACCAATCATTGTAAAGTGTGGGTACGTTGTTTCTTCAATCCATTTCCTTTTATTCAAATGCACCACCTGAAAAATTAGTGTAATTAGGCAAAAAAAAAAGGAAAAAAGGATTTTTTTTTTTTTGTTATTTGAAAGGAAATTACTTTTGGGGGATAAAGGAGGTGGACGCCGAAGCGATCGGTGGCGCGCGACATTAAGGATTCAGAGGAGGCGTCGTGGTCGCCGGTGAAGATAACGGAATCGAGGTCTGGGTTTTCCTCCTGGATGGCTTTGACAGCGCACCAAAGGACTCTCTCTCCGCCGCCGCCATCGTTGGTGTAAGGATGGAAGTATCCGACGGCTCTTTTCTTGTTTCTTCGGCGGTTGAGAATCTTTGAAGCGAATAAAAGGATCGTAGCAAGTGGAAGAGAGATTAGAGACCATGAAAGAATCCAATTTATCATGATCTGAAGATTTTTTCTTTTTCTTTTCTCGAACAGAGATGGAGAGAAGGTCTTCGGAGTCGACCAAACGAAGGAGAGAGGGAAAGGCCGAAAGGCGAAAAATCTAAAACGACAATAGAAACGACGTCGTGTCAGTGAAGGGAGATTGGGAGAGATTGCTCAATCCAGAGTTGTGGCAACAAGTCCAAGTCTAATTAAAAAAAAGTTATATTTGCTTACCTGGCAATAAACTAGTAAACATAAGAAAATTAAAATTATTTTAATTTATTTTCTGACATAGAAACAAATAAAAAGGAAAAAATTTTGAACACATTTTTTGTTTTTTTATAGATTTAAGAATCAAATTATAGATAATTTAATGTTAGACCTTATCAACGTTTTATTTTTTTTAAAATAATACTTTATTAATAAATGTCTAAATTGAATAACTTAAATATGTATAAAAACTATACAATATCAATCCATTAAATATTAATCTATTTTTTCCTGTTTCTTGATTTTAATTACTTTAAATATATTAATAACAAATTATTTAGTTTTACTTCGCGAATTATAGAATTTCACATTTCATATATGATGAAATTATGTTAATTGCCTTCCTATCCTGTTCCTTCCACATACTGCACGAAAAGATCGAACTGCATGATCAAACGGATCTTTAAAATAAACATTTAGAAGTCTAAAATTTCTGTAAAATGAAACATAAATCATAAAGGAAATTTTAATTCCACTTTAATGAAAAGGCAAATAAACAAACAATGAGGGACATAAAGTCTAAAGGAGAATATCAAATTCCGAAATTATGATTCAGTGTGAAGTGATTTTGTATATACTTTCGGTCGATTCCGAAGACCGAGAAGGAAATAATAATACTACAAAATACAAATGCATGAAATCCTGTGCTTGCCCTCTGTGCCAGCAGCCCCAAAAAAAATGCCTCTTCTACAAAAAAGAATATTACAAAGACAATATCTCACACACCTAAAGCACAAAAATGGCATTATTCCAACTTGATCTTCATCTTCACCCCCATCAGATGAAGGAACACAAAGAAAGAGGAAAAAAAATATATATGGAAGGCATCGGAGCCCTGCTGAAACGCCACTAATCAAAACTACGCCGTAGTCATTTTTCTCTCTTGAGCAACAACATGGATCCACAGCTAAGTAACTTCTTCAATCAAACGAACCTGTTACGACTTAATAGCTGCCCATTGGCGGCATCCCAAAAGGTGGCATTGGAGGCATCCCCATTCCTCCCATGGGTGGTGGTGGCATCCCCACTCCTCCCATTGTTGATCCTCCCATACCTGGCATTGGTGGTGCAGGCAAGGCAAGAGGTAGTAACTGAGCATACATGTTCTGCAAGAGAAGGCAATTTAAATCAGTTAGATGATTGAGGGATTCATTGAGAATATGTTTTGACGAAAACAGAGTTGTGGTTTCGACTTCCGAAGCTGTTATACCTGTTGTGCAATCACCTCCTTCTCTTCCTGCTCTTTAGCCTTTACTTCAATTTGAGCCTCAATCTTGTCCTTGATAAGTTCGTCAACTTTGCCAGTATATTCACGGATAAACTGGAAAAATACAGAAATTAAGAAAGATGTTGAAAACCAAAAAAATCATGGTAAAATGGGAAGGCACGCTAAGATCAATCGCATAAAGCCTTGTAGCAACGCAACAATGTGAGACAGAAGAGCGTAGCTAATAAAACCCAAATCCAATGATGACAATTAAAGCAGCAGCAAAGAAATCACCTGTAACAGATATGGGAATGCAAAGTCAATCATATTGTTCATCCACGCTAGCTCGAGAGCAACATCTGGTCGGATTAAGTCATAACAAACAAAGAGGCATGATGCGAAACATTCCTTCTTGCCCTGTACAAAGAAAACCAACACAATATTATATCCAATCCAAAATAATAACCAACACTTCTGTGACAATACCAGAAGAAAAACCACCATAGTGCAAAACCAAGCATACATTTAAAACTTCATTTTCTATGTCCTATAGTATGGTTATTGACGACTATGATTTTATACTAATACTTGCACCCTAAAGGAATAAGTGAGAGAGAGCAAACTAAGGTAATGAGATGTACTCGTTGACCAAGAACGTGTAATGCTTTATACTTCGAAAAAGATAACCATCTCGATACAAGCCATTATCAATCACCATATATTTACTTGTATATTTAGGAATGAGTTGAGTACCTGTTCAATGAAGTAAACAAGCAACTCCTCGGCAAGTTCGCGGTCACCAGACTGTGAAGCTGTTTCCATTGCATCTTTGTAAAGGTTGTCTTTCTTCGACAATGCAATGGACTGCTTCCATCTGCCTGCCTTTTTGTAAATGTATGCGGCAACACGCCTCATCTCAAGCAGCTCATGTTTCTCAATCTATTCAAGCAATTTGGAAACGTTATCAGAAGCCAACCTAGCAGCAAACAAAAATGTACGAACAACGGTACTTCACCTTTTGTGCAAGGCCAATCTGATCAAAATTATCATGCAAGTCAATTGATTCTCTCAATCTATCATAATCTTCTTCCTCCACATAAATCTCATTCAACGCCTCATTTACTGCTGAGACATTGTTGCTCTGAACAGCAACCATGTATGGCTTCACAAGACGCAGATGACCAGCCTGAAATTCCAAAAAGAAATAATTGCCAACCCAAAATGAATTAAATGATACCAAAGCAAATCAGTAGTATTCATTTCAATATTAGATCATTTTCTGCCAAAATTTAACCTTTCTCATAATGTCAACAACACGTGTGTGGTCCACACGAAGTGCAAGCACGTTCAGCATGTCATTGATTAGATCAGGATGTTCTTGCAAGTAGAAGTGGACAGCCTTGTAATATAGCTCAACATTAGCAACTTTGACTGCAATATCTTTGAACTGCATATGGTCCCATGCTTCAGGAGAGTGGTTCATCACAGTAGTTGCAGCATTATCAAACTCATCATATTGGATATACAAATAGGTAAGTTCCATCCAGTGCTGCTGCTCATCACAAGCTCTTATTAGCTTGGGAATATTGAGACGAGTAGAGAATAATTTAATGTGCTCCATAAGCTTCTCTGGACGATATCTGGCATACAGCACTCCCAATTCAGTAAAGATCCCCATGTGTGCACGTTCCAATCCTAAACCACTCTCCATGAGAGAGATCAACTCATTGAAGCATCCTCTATTCTGATAGTATTCACTGACTTCTTCCAAGTCATCCACCTACAAAATTGACAACACAAAGGTCCAAATCATCGTGCACAAATGGTCTCATCAAACAAACAAAATGAGAAGAAAAAGGGAACTGAATGAGCACACTTGTCAACAACTTCATTGTTCCCAAAAAAATGTAATCCAAAAATTCAACATGAAAGGAAACTCACCTGTACAATAATGTTAAGACCACAGATCTGTGCCAATCGGAATTCCTCTGCATCAACACAAGCAAAGCAAACCTCCTTCCATGTCTTGGCACTGTTTGCCTTTCGTGCTGCATCAACAGCACCCTGGAATTGTTTAAGCCTCACCAGTGTAACAGCCAACTTGGCCCAGTTAGATATAAATGCAAATATTATTTTTGCAGCTTCATATAGGTCTTCGTCAAACAAGCGATCACCAACAGTTTGAAGATTAGCCACATTTGGCATGAGAATGAATTCTTCAATTTCACCCAATCTATCAATCTTTGCATAGGCATAAATGAGTTCACTGTCCACCTTTGGCTCCTTGACCTTCTGCCTAACCATCAGAAGGTACCTCACCAGATCAGGGTAGACATCAGCATCCTCAGCAGCTTGGATAACGTCAAGGAATTGAGTAGCATCATCTGCACGAATAAACGATTCAATTGCATCGCTCACCAGCCCCTCCCTCAGTTGTGCCTTGGCCACCTGACTCCAAACAGCATCTTCTTCAACTCGGAATGCAAATTCCACAGCCCGATCAATGCTTCTAATGTTATCCAACAAAACATTCACAGCCTGAACATTTAAGTTGAATTTTTTGAAAATCGCAAAAGCTTCTTCGTATAGTTGTGCTTCCACAGCCACTTCTCCAACAGCAGGTCCATCAAAATTATCTAGCCTATTGATATAATCCATTACTCTAGATGGATCTGCCTTAATAGCTGTCAAAATAAGTAGATTTTGCAGATTGAAGTTCCCACTGAATGCAGAGTTTTGGAGCACAATCTTCTCGAGAAGCTCAATCAGTTCATGGGGCAGGTCAGCAGTCATGAAAGCTTTAACTGCTGCAGAAACTTGTTCTGGACTCTTGCTTTCTGGCAAAGCAGTCGACACAACCTGATCAATTAGCTGTCTTCTATATTCATTTTCAGGATTTAGAACCTTCTCCCAAAGATCAGCATCCATCCTCTCAACAACATACCTGTTTTCAAAGTATAAACACATAAGCCACTTAAATACAAAGATCCAATACATTATCATTAATAAACTAAATAATTACATACCTGGCTTGCAATTTGAACAATGAGTTTTTATTTGTGACATTGATAAGTTCATCGTCACATTGTCCTCTTCGGTAAGCCACAACTGCCAGGGTGGGATCACGCTTCTCACAGTACTTACCCACGACCCGGGAATCATAGTAAGGGTTAGTTGTGAGGAAGTGCTCTGGATTGTTATTGCTATCAATGATGATTTTACCCAGAGCATTGTGGACATGCACATCTTGGCTTCCTTCACTTACAAGATGCTCCAAGAACTGTGTAAGTAAACGAAGTCGATTTCTGAAACCACACAAGGAAAATGAGAATCACATAGAAATGATAGGAGGAAACAAGGACAGAAGATGCAGTAAGAAAATCACCTCTTCTCACATTCATCCACAAGGGGCTCAACTGGAAGCAAAGAACGGACTGAGAGAATGAGACCCTTAATAAAGTCTTCGGGGCATTCATCATCTAGCAACTGGCCCACTACCAAAGGAGCATTCCCAGGGTTCACCTATAAAAAGAAGCAAACAAGCTCTCAAGTACTTGAGATTAAGTCAAATTCATGCAGTATGCCAGTATAAATATCAAGCGGAAAATATCACATACCTTCTGAACATAACCTTCAATGTACCGGAGCATGTTGTTTGTGTAGAGGTAGTGAGTGAGATCAGGAACAAACCCAAATCGATCACAAACATTAATCAGGGGCCTAGCATCAGGAAGCTTGGCCTCCATCAGGAAGTTCTTTGTCTTTTCAGCATCATAAAAATTCGATTCCCTGGTCACACGCTCAACCTCCTTTATCTGTCCAGTTTTAGCAGCTGCCTCGATGTACTTGAAGTGTATATCTGGGTCCTCACTGTCCCATTATCGGCAGTGAACACCATAATAAGTACCATACTAGAAATGGCTGCGCGGTGAGCAATCATTTAAAGGAAATTTCTTGTTTGCTAAGTAGCTTACCTTGAGCTCAAATAAGAACCCAGGAAAAAGTACAACCCTTCGTATGACTTAAATTGCTCAAAAAGTTTTATGCAAGCATCAACACCCAACTGCTCACAATACTCCTTGGCAACCTGCAACGACAAACAACTTAGCCTTTGGTGATTTACTAAACTTATTAGCATAACAAAGTACAACATTATTTACCTGAACGATTATTTGAAGGTTGGCTCTTAGATTAACCAGCAAAAGGTCCTTCATGCACTCCAAAGCCCATTCTCGTGAAAGAGTACCAAAAAACTCAACAAGCGCCTGAAAATCAAAATATTATCAGAAAAATGACAGTAGGTTTTGAAGTCTCCAAGTTTTCCAAGAAATATAGATAATAGACAACATGTACCTGTGGCTCAATAGCATGTGTATTCACAATGACACGTTTAATATCTGGCAACTCCGTGTAATGCTGCAGAAAAGGTGTTATATTTAGTCAAGGAGATACAATCAATTCAGTGTAGAAAATCACAAATCACACATAATGCAATAAGTACTAATTTCACTAAGACAATTACCTGCAGAGCTCGCACATAGAGACCAGCTTTCTCACAAAGTTGTGCAATTCGTGGACGATCATAGTGACTGAACATTCCATTTGCCAAAATGGCATCAGCAACGTTTGGAAATGTTACTAGATTGATTTCCAGGACCTGCATAGAGAAGAATGTTATGGAACAAAGTATATTCTTTTCAAAAGAAGGAAACCAAATTTAGATTAGCTTAACCAGCACATCAAAGAAATAACCTTTGTTTGTAGAAAAGCATGCTCTGGCAGATTTGGCTTCAAAACATCTAAAAGAAATGCAGTGGCCTCCCGGATCAAGTTCCTCTGAAAACAGAAAGAAGATATCCATCAAAGAAAACAATCTCACATATTTTGAATGGGAAAATCACATTATTTTTACAACCTATTCAATAAGCAGCAGACCTGAAGAAAAAGATCAGTAATGGTATTGTAATCAACTGGACAACCTCCCTCCATTTGAGACATCATCAATGCAAAATTAACAGCTCCCTGCAAGTAAAACATCAAGTGATAACTTATTTCCCATACAAGATAGTAGTTCCTCCAAGAAAATTACACAGATCCAATTCCATCAAAAAAATTCACAATACTTGCAATCTACTTATCAGCAAACACTAAAAAACTTTTAATTTAATCGAAATATTCATAAAAATTGACTTAGAAGGCTTTAATGAAGAGATTAACACAATTGAACACAATTATTGATTGTATGTATGTATGTATGTATGATTCGACATGCTTCAACACCTCAAACACTAAAGACTACAGAAAATTAAAACAAACCTGTGGATCTGTACGAAGAATTGTTTGCAGAAGGAACAAGTAGTCAGGTGTGTACCCAACCTGAGGAAACAACTTAGTTGTGAATATTTGATGCATTCATCAAAATACAAAGAACAAGAGGGAGAAATAAAACCCCCAAAATTTGATGGGCTGTTAAAAAGGAGATCCCACATCGATAACACCAGAAAATACCAATACAAATAAAATGTCACCTGCTTTGAGTAAATCAAGATTTTGTCAAACTCCCTCCTTTCTGCAAAAGCTGCAACAACTTTTGGAGTTGCCCTAGCTTTAATATATATTTTCAATGCAAGATCATTATCCACAGTCTACAACAAAAGCAACAGTCAAATCAGCCCAATTTTTTAAAGTAGAAATTTAGATACATTTGAATGAGATACTAATAGACTTCTATTCCAGTGGGTACAAATCAAACCTTCACAAGATCTCCAAGTTCCTCACTACACTCTAATTTATCTTCAGCCAACCAATTTTCCAAAAGATTCTTCTTGTTTTGGTTTACAACAAGTCGAGACAATTCCAAAGACTCAAATGCATTGAGCTTCCCTCTTGTTAAAAGTGTACCAAAGTACTGCAACAGCGGTGGAGTCTGCCCAGCTTGTACAGGAACACTCTGCAGCATTTGGATGAAGGATTATGTTTCAGATAAAATCAAAACAAACACAAACAACTATCTACACAATTAAGAAAGCAAAATGAGACCTGAAACTTGGCAACTGTATCGGGCGTGCGAAGGATCCCTTGTGGAGACTCTGCAGCAAGCTCAGCAGCTTCTTTGTACTTTGTCTGAGCAAACAATTCTTGAAAACGTTGGACAACCTGAGATATTCAAAATCACAAATGGTCAACTACCTAGAATACAGAAAGAATAAAGTCATCCAGAACAAAAATCCAAAAAAAATAGCAAATAAAGTTGAATAACTTATATGAGACATTACTGGTAACATGTAGCATCAGATATATCAAACACTAAATCTAATCATGCGATACCAATTGAAAGAACACAAACACAAAATTAGCACTTAAGTAAATCCAGAAACAAGCACAGCATGTCTTCAATCTCAGCATGGCAGCAAGATTGAAGAAATCCCACAA